CGATTTAAACTGAATTTCCGACCGACTTAATCAAATTAAATCGAACGGGGCATTATATCATCTTTTAGGACAATATAATATGATGGCTTGAACGAGCAAAATAATAGAATAATAATAATACTCCAAAATCAATTAATTTAAACAATTAGGCAAAAAGAAAATTAATACGATAACAATAATAATAGTAATAATAATAATAACTCATTTATTCATGAACGAACGGGGCGTTACAGTCTACCCACCTTACAAAGAATTCCGACCTCGGAATTCGAAAACGAAACCACAAAGCGATAAAAAAAAAATACAAAGGAGAACTCAAAACTCAAAGTTCGGATAACGCCTCCTAATACCGTCCTCCCTCTCCCAAGTCGCCTCGGTCTCATCGTGTCGGCTCCACAGCACCTTCACCAAGCTCACTGTCCGGTTCCTCAGCTGATGGACCTTCCGGTCCAGGATAGCTACCAGTACCTCCTCATAGGTAAGGTCTCGCTCGACCTGCAGCTCGCCGAAGTCCACCACATGATCAGGATCATGCACATACCTCCGAATCATCGAGATATGGAATACGTCGTGCACACCGGACAAGTCTGTTGACAAAGCCAGCCGATAGGCTAAGTTCCCAACTCGATCGAGGATCTCGAACGGCCCAATATAGCGAGGTTTAAGCTTTCCCTTCTTCCCGAAGCGAATCACACCTAGCATAGGTGAAACCTTCAGGAAGACATGATCTCCCACAGCATAAACATGCTCTTGCCTCTCCCGGTCGGTATAGACCTTCTGCTTCTCCTGAGCAGACCTGATGGTTTTCTGGATCTCCTCAACGGTCGCTGCAGTACTCTGGACAAAATCCGGACCCCTAATCCTCCTCTCTCCAACCTCATCCCAATACAAAGGAGTCCAGACCTTACGTCCGTACAAAGCCTCGTACTGGACCATCTTGATCGAAGAGTGGTGGTTGTTGTTATAGGTCAGCTCGACTAGCGGTAGGGCATACTCCCAAGTCAGACTTCGGTCCAAGACCACAACCGTCAATATATCCTCCAAGTACTGGATCACACGCTCCGACTGACCATCTGTCTGGGGGTGAAAGGATGTACTGAACTCCAACCTCGTCCCCATGGCTCGGTGCAACGTCCTCCAGAACTGGGATGTGAACTTGGCATCTTGATCCGAAACGATCTCCACGGGCACTCCATGAAGCTTAACAATGTCCTTGACGAACAATTCGGCGTAATCACTCGCCTTCATGGTCATCTGGACTGGCAGAAAATGGGCAGACTTCGTGAGGCGATCCACTATCACCCAAATCGAATCATACCCGCTCTTCAACCTTGGCAGCCCCACTAAAAAATCCATGGTGATGCACTCCCACTTCCACAGGGGAACCTCAAGGGGCTGCAACAACCCTCTCGGTTTTTGGCACTCAGCCTTCACTTGCTGACACACCAGGCACCCATCCACGAACTTCGCTACCTGCCTCTTCATGCCTCGCCACCAGAAAGACTTCCTCAGGTCCTGATACATCTTCGTGCTACCAGGATGGATGGTGTACGGGGCACTATGAGCCTCTCTCAAAATCTCTCTCCGCAGTTCCTACACCTTCAGAACACAAAGTCTACCCTCAAAGACCAAGGCTCCATCAGATGCGACTGCAAATCCACCAACTCTACCAGCTGCTGACAACTCCCTCATCTGGCATAAGAAACGGTCCTTCGGTTGCTCGGCGAATATCCTCTCCCGAAGAGTCGGTCCTACAACCAAAGAGGCCAACATGCCCCCGGCTGTCGAAGTCGACTCTACTGCCTCTAACTGTAATTGCTCGAACTCCCGAAGAAGAACATCCTGCCTGGTAAAAAAGCAAGATAGCTGGCCATAACTCCTCCGACTAAGGGCATCGGCTACCACATTAGCTTTCCCAGGGTGATAGCTAATGGTGCAGTCGTAATCCTTGACCAGCTCCAACCATCTACGCTGCCTCATGTTCATCTCCTTCTGAGTGAAAATGTACTTTAGGCTCTTGTGGTCGATAAAGATCTCACACTTGCCTCCACAGAGGTAGTGCCGCCAAATCTTCAAGGCGTGGACAACTGCAGCTAACTCGAGATCATGAGTGGGGTAGTATTGCTCGTGAGGCTTCAACTGCCTCGATGCATAGGCTACGACTTTCCCTTGCTGCATGAGAACACAACCCAGGCCCATCTTTGAAGCATCACTATAGATGGTGAACTCCAAAGTAGGGTCGGGTATGGATAGGATAGGTGCGGTAGTGAGTCTCCTCTTCAACTCCTGGAAACTCTCCTCGCACTAAGGACTCCAATCGAACCTCATGGCCTTCTTCGTAAGGTTTATCAGTGGCTGGGCTATCCTCGAGAAGCCCTCGAAAAACCTCCTGGAGTATCCTGCTAACCCCAGGAAACTACAAATATCTGCAGCACTTCTTGGCGTATCCCATTTGCTCATCGCCTCGATCTTCCTGGGATCCACCTCAATGCCTCGAACTGTCGCAATGTGGCCAAGGAATGCCACACGGTTCAGCCAGAACTCGCACTTTGAGAACTTAGCATACAACTTCTCGTGGCGAAGAGTCTCCAGCACAATCCTCAAATGCTCCTTATGTTGATCGATATCTCGGGAATAGACCGGAATGTCGTCGATGAACACAATGACGAACTGGTCCAGGAAAGGATGAAAGACCCTATTCATAAGGTCCATGAAAACGGCCGGGGCATTACTGAGTCCGAAAGGCATGACTACGAACTCATAGTGGCCATAGCGGGTACGGAAAGCAGTCTTAGAAATATCCGACTCCCGGATCTTCAGCTGATGATAGCCAGATCGCAAATCAATCTTTGAGAAGACGCTGGCTCCTCTCAGCTGGTCGAAAAGGTCCTCAATACGGGGAAGGGGGTACGTGTTCTTAACTGTAAGGGCATTCAACTCCCGATAGTCAATGCACATGCGCATAGATCCGTCCGTCTTCTTCACGAATAGAAAAAGCGCACCCCACGGCGAGACACTCGGACGAATGAAACCGAGTTTGAGCAACTCCTGGATCTGGGCCTTGAGCTCTTGAAGCTCCTTCGGCGCCATACGATAAAGGGCCTTAGAAACGAGGTCGGCTCCGGGAATCAGGTCAATAGTGAACTCCACCTGGCGGTCTGGCGGTCCTCCCGGTAAGTCGTCAGGAAAGACGTCGAGGTACTCACAAACAGTAGATACTCGCTCAGGCAACCGCTCATCAACAACGTCGGATACCATGGAAACAAGACAGCCTTGACAGCTACCCTTGGAAAGGCTCTTCCTAGCTTGCATAGAAGAGATGACCCGAGGCACAGTCTTCGAACTCACCCCAAAGAACACAATAGGCTGATCAGAAACGGGATAGAGGGTGACTTCGCGCTCCTGGCATCGGATATTGGCTGGTAACGGGTGAGCCAGTCCATTCCCAAGATGACGTCAAAGTCTCGCATATCAAGTACATAGACGTCGGCCTCCAGAACTCGACCGCCAATACAGATAGAAAGATTGCGAACCACCGAATCAGAGATAATAATTTTTCCCGAGGCTAAACTAACCTCGAGAGGATCACAAGCATGCACGGTGCCAATAGATAAAGCCTCCAAGCAACGAGAAGAAATAAAAGAATGGGTAGCACCGGTATCACATAAAGCAAAGACAGGCACATGGGATATCGAAAGCATTCCGGACATGGTACCTGCATTGCGGGCAGCCTCATCGTGGGTGATGGTGTAGACTCGGGCCTGACCCCCAGCCCTCTGCTGGTACGGTGGGGGCTGCTGATGCTGCTGATGAGGTGGCGGCGGGGGGGAGCTGCTGCTGACGCTGCTGGGGAAGGGCCTACTGGTGCTATTGCGGGGTATATTGTGGCTGCCTCATGGGCTCAGAACAGACACTGGCATAATGGCTCGGACGGTTGAAGTTGAAACAGGCTCGCTGGTCGGCTAAGCACTCGCCACTATGGTACTTGCCACATTTCTTGCAGGTTCGGTTACCAGAAGAGGGATGATTGCGCCGGACTGGACCCGGTGGGAATCTGCCTTTCTCTTACCCGAGCTAGAGCCAAGCGGTGCCGAGGAAATAGGCTGAGCATACTGGACAACAGTCTGAGACGGCTGGGAAGCATGATAAAAAAGAAGGAACTGGAGCCAAAGGAATAAGACAGCTCTCTACTTCCTGAGCCCTACTCACGGTGTCTGCATAAGACATCTGTCTGTGACTTCCCACTAGCTCACAGATCCTCTGATTGAGTCCCTTGAGGAACTTGCGGGCCTTCTTGTTATCGGTGTTCATGGCGTCGCCCGCAAAAAGGCACATGCGGGTAAAGGTACGGACATACTCATCCACCGTGGAGCTGCCCTGCTGCAAGTGGTAGAACTCATGCTCCACTCTGTCCCAAAAGCTCTGGGGGAGAAACTTGCAACGCACCATCATCTTCATTTGCTCCCAAGTGAGAGCATGAAGCTCCGCCTCTGGCCTCCGGGCCCAGTGGTCAATCCACCAGTCGGAGGCGTCCTCCTTCATCTGATAAGCTGCAAGGGATACCCGCTGACGGTCAGGGAGGGAAATTACAGCGAAGATCTTGTCCAGTTCTTTGATCCACTCCAGCACCGCTGTGGGGTTCTCAGTCCCCGCAAAGGTTGGTGCATTCATCCTCTGAAACTGGATGATAAGCTGAGTAAGATCCATGGCCGGAGGGGCCCTGTGCTGACGGGGTAGAGATGGTTGCGGGGATGCCTTACGGTTACGGTTGTTGCGAGTATTCAGACTTCTACATTGAATAATCCGCACAAGGTTAGCACAAAAAATAAACAAAATAATCAATACTTACAGAAGTCTAGAGTTCGCCAATAAACACTAGAGTTCGATTAAATCAAGGTGGATAGACCCTAAGCCCCAAATCACAAGTAGTTTCATTACTACCTGTATATCATTTACATATCAAGTATTTTCATTAATACTTAAACAAAACATACCTTAAGCGGCGCGGAGTGACGGAGACGAGTGGTCATATTATGTAACGCCCCGTATTTTATTAATAAAAGAAAATACTAGCTTTTAGTTTTAAGCTAGTCTTTATTAATAAATAATCATGTTCATGTTCAAGTTCAGGTTAGTCAGCCAGTTATATTCTGAGTTCGACTATTAGTCGATAAGTTATTCGGTTTAATTAATTTATTAACCGAATATGTTTCCAGATTTAATTCTGATTCATTTAATTAATTAATGAGTCCGGAATTAATTATTCAGTCAGCGATATTCCGTCATGTTCATCATGTTTTTAGTTCCGAATATTAATTTATCGGAATTAATTATTTTCAGTCAGTTCAGTCGAGATTACCGGAAATTATTTTCGACGTACCGTTTACGTTCGGAATAATTTTGGTAATTAAGTAGTATGCTTAATAATTAATTAAGCATAGATAAATGATTAATTGATAATTAATCATGAGATCAAGTCCATTAGCCATGCGCTATTTTTCTCCCAAAGAAATCATTTTGCCGTGAGCAAAAGATTAGTGGGAAAGTTATTGGATTTGTCCTCTTTTTCTTAATTAAGCTAGTAGGAGGTGTCATCCATATGTGATACTTGGTGATGACTAAGTTCACTTAGTGATGAGTTAGGCATAGATTAGCTCTAATGAGGACAAGTGTTTAACTCTTAAGGCACCTCTTTTCCAAACAACCTCTTCGGCCCCTATTTATATGTGTGTGTTTGGGAATTTTTCTCAAACTTTAAGCTATATATATATATATTCCTTAGTATTCAGCATAGATAGAGGTTGGAGAAGATAATTCCATCGCACGCGAGTTAAGTATCGCAAGCCTACCGAGTACAAGCTATCACACACGCACGCCGCACGCGAACACCACGCATAAAGAGCCGAACGCCGAGAGTCATTTTTGTGGTTCAGCGAGTATGTAACAAGGTAACTTCGTTAGCTTGAAGTTATTCATGTTAAGGGCATGGTAGTTCGAATTATTCATGTTCATGGCGTGGCTTGATGTTGTCCGCCCGTGCGAGTGCGTCGCAAGTATGCTTATGGTTTAAGTTTATATCTCTCGAGTAATGAGCATGTAGTTAGCTTTCTTATGGTATATTATGATCAGTTGTTCCGTGTTGTTCGAAAGAACTTTCATGTTTATGTGTCGTTTTGACCGAAGGGCGTGGCCGTGCACGTAGCACGCGCCACGGGCCGTTCACGAGTATCATATCTGCTAAATAGATATTCTTTCGAACCAGCATGTTCATTTGTTCAGTACATCATATTTAAGTTCAGTCATGAATGAATTTGCCGAGAGAAAAGTTAAGTTGGTCGAGTGACGGCCCAACCTCGTCGGCGGCGCACGGTGCGCTCG